TTTTCAGGAACAGCTAGGCTGTCGCGAGAGATGTCACGGTTGGGCTAAATTGCGATTGCCATCGACATTCGATTCGGAGTCAAGCACGATAGGTGTGAGCGTACCTTAGTAAGATGCATCAGAGACTGGGCGATGTCTGGATGCGTCCTGGGCATTCACTTTGGGACTCCCTGTGCGGCTTGGTCGCGGGCTCGTGCTAGACCCAACGGTCCGCGGCCACTTCGGGATCTGGAACGCATTCTTGGGCTTCCGGCGTTGCGGAACGAAGGGGGGGCGCTGGGGGATTGAGCTTGGCAGCGAAACAGTGAAAAGCGCGGGCAGTATCGCGCAGGTGGCGTCGCTCCATATGGTTCCGTTTTGTATCGAAAATCAGTGTATATCTTTTCTTTGGGAGGCTCCTCAAATGGTTCACCTACGATAGCGCAAAAACAGCACGGGAAGTGCGAACTGATCTCTGTCAATGGGGAGTGCCCTGGATGAAGCCCACTCGTTTAGTTGCTAGCTTTTTGCCCTTAGAGTCTCTTGACCGTAGGTGCAAGCTCTGCAAGGGGGGGTGTTCCATACCGACACAGCCACATATATGTTTAATAGGCAACGTCGACAATGAAATTTTCAGGACTCGAACGGCCGAGGGGTATCCAAAGCGGTTTTCCAAAGCCCTGGCCGATGCCTTTGTCAACTGCATCAAATGCCTAGAGTCTACATCCATTGCTGCTGTGCTATAAATGAGTGCGTATTTTTGACCAGGGAGAGGGTCCCACCACCGCCCTTTCCCCTCCAATATAGATTCGTTTGCGCGTATGGAGCGGAGCTTCGCTTCAGAATTCTGTGAGTTGTTTGAGCAGCTTCCTCAATGGACGCTGGAACACAACGCTTGAGACAACACAACTGGCCGCGCCGCCCGTGAGAAAAATAAGTCCCTGTCATTGTGCCTCGAGGCTCCCTGGGGTTCCGTGACTACAAGAGCTGACAGGTGTCTCGCACGCTCGTAAGGCAGAGGCTACTAGTGCGTGCGCGTCTTGCTTCAGCCTGCTTCCGTAGCGTGTGTGGCTCCCACCCGCCTCCCGTTTGCGTTGTCCTGTCTTTTTCTCGTGGAGCGGAGCTTCGCTTCAGAATTCTGTGAGTTGTTCGAGCAGCTTCCTCAATGGACGCTTGAAGACAACGCTTGAGACAATACAACCGGCGGCACCGCCCGTGAGAAAATAAGTCCCTGTCATTGTGCCCCGAGGCTCCCTGGGGTTCCGTGACGACAAGAGCTGTCATTTGACTCACACGCTCGTAAGGCAAAGGCTGATGATGCTGTTTCTGATGATGCTGATGATGATGCTGCTGCTGACGATGATGGTGATGGTGATGTTGATGTGAAAGTGATGATGGTGAAGACGGGACGGTGCTGATGAGCGATATTTTGATCATGGTGAAGGTGATGCTGATGGTATGTTGATTGCGTGAGTGATTGATCGTGTGCAGTGACTGTGTGTGTGTGACTGATAATGAAGGCGTGACTGATTGAATGCATGATTATGGCTTTGTGAGTGATGATGAGAAGGCTGATGCTGTTATGATAATGACAGTGTGTGAGTGATTGAGTGAGTGAGTGATTGTGCGAATGGAACAGAGGAGAGGGTGAGTAGGAGAGGTACAGCGTGGGGTGTCCAGAGCAAATGAGATCCCCACGTACGATGTGTTGAATAGACATGCAAAATGATCGAAGGGCGCCCTCGCATGGGCAATATTTTGCCGCACCGTGCGCTTTGGCGGCGGCCTGCACACGCCAGGAGATATGCTGCGCTTTCTCGTCCCTGTCAAAACCCCTTTCACAAGTGATCGCGGGGCGCCCGAACATGCTCCAGATTGTGACGCAACGTGAACATTGTATTCTTCTTCGGCAGGGAAGGTGAGTGGGTGCCCTCGTTGTTTCGGGCTGGTCGCTGGTGAAGTGGGGGAGGGGGTGTATATCAAGAAGGAACAGTGGCCAAATTCCCCATCGTGATCGCCGCAAACTGTTCTCGCTCACTCCCACCCGCCCTCCCGCCGCATCAGCAGCACCCGAGACTCAGCATGGGCAGAGGGCGCCATCGAACGGACAGCCCCTAGGAACCGGCACCGCCGCTGGGGGTGCTCGGCGTTCGCGAGGTGCGCCACGCGCAGCCGGGTGCGGCTGCGCGCAGCAGGTGCGTCGTGTGCCCCAGGAACCCAAGCGTGCCAGGCGCGCCTGGCGCGGCAGATGCGCCACCTGCTCCACGCGGGCCGCGCTTGGCTCGCCACGCGCGCGGAGTGCGCCAGGCGCGCCAGCGCACGTGGCAGCACACACTTCGGGCAAAATGTAGACCCCTGGCCATTCATGTCAAGAGCCACTGCGAAGTGGGGGCGGGGTATTCCGCCCAGTGTGTGGCGTGTGCGCTCGCAGTGAGTCGGCATCGTCTTGTTTGACAGGGATAGTGGGACAGCGCATAGCGAACCAGTGCGATCGCACCCCCGCCATCTCTGTCGAAAACCAATGTACAACAATGCTTGCCAGGGTCCCGCTCACGATCCAGATTTTGCAACCGCGTGAACTTTGTACTGTTTTTGATACGTGTGATGGGGGGGCGCATGGTTCCTTGTTGGCGGCTGGCCGAGTGGGGGGCGGTATGCTTACTATTGAGGGGAAGTGGTAAACCCGTTCCTGAAGGGGAAGGGGGGGGGCTTCCTTGAAAGAGTTGGCCCCCTAAACGACCTTCACCCATAGGGCTGCTGGGATAAATGTCCGCCCCGTGGGCCGAGATTGTTCGGACGACCCAGGAAATGTTGCAAGATCAGCGAGTCGGATCGAGGTATTCACTGCAACGTCTGCCCAGATAGCACAGCAGAACCCGAAGAAGGTGAGCAGTGTTCTCCTGCTGATCCCAGTTATGTCTGCGGCTGCGCTGGTCTGGGGCCTGTACTACATTGTGAGCCGCGGGGCGTTTTATGAAGAGTATTTGCCTTTCATGGGCTTTTGTGCGATCATCTCCGTGCTCGTGATTATGGTTTGCAATTGTCTTTCCTTTTCAGTTCAGATGAGTTTACTGTTTCCTTTCGTCGGCTTGCTCGGCGTAGCGTGGGGCGCATATCGATTGGCAAGTCCAGGCAGCATGTACCACGACGACTGCGCTGGTCTGACGAGGTGAGTGGCACGGACAGCTCGGGTCCTCTCCGCTGCGGTCTGCACGCCCGTTGCTTGGTCCCGCTTGTCTTAGCATTATAATGGGGGACCAAGTCCCTTTCGTGCACCCTGAGATTCAGGGACCCTCCCAAATCTGAGGCCCGTCGCGAGGTTTTAGACAGCACGTCTCGCGATTTTCCCCTCAACGGTGTTGGCACCTGGTGGGCTTGCCTGCGTTTCTGAGGGATCGGACGGTGCCCCGAGGACTCGCCACGCTCTGGCTCGTGGCCGCCCCGTTGCCGCCCCCTTGCCCCTCGCGGGGGTCTCCCAGACACTCGCCTCGCTCCGGCCCGCCGTGGCCCGTGGCTGGCCGTGTTGCCGCCTGTCGGGGTGCCCCGGGGGCCCGCCACGATCCGGCCACTTGCCGCCCGTTGCCGCCCGTTGCCGTCTGCGGGGGGGCCCGGGGAGGCCTCGCCACGCGCCGGCCCGTTGTGCCGCCCAGGGCCGCCCGTGGGGGGTTCCCCGAAAATCCGCAACGTTCCAGCCCGTTGCTGGCCGCTGCCAGCTGTGGGGATGTCCCGAGGATGCACGCGTACTTGCTCTTCGAGAAACGCCCTCAGAGACGCTTGTGCATCACATAGCTTGCACATCCACAGTGCCACAGCTTGCTCGTTTGGGGTCCACGCTGGGAAGCATATTCCCAAAGCTATCCGAGCTCGCAGCCTGTTTTGGTCATCGCTCTTGTAATTCACAGCTTTCAGCGCGCCAGGCCCGGCGAGCCGGTCTTGCCTGGCGGCCGCGTGCCCTCGGCGTTCTCGCGTGGTGAGAGACACGTGCTGTCGTGAGGTGCGTCGAACAAATGTTGCGTTGATCCTGGTAATTCTTCTCTCCTCCTCTTCCTCCTTCGTCCCTCCTCCTCTCCCTCTCCGGGCTAGGGTTCCGTGGCGCCGCATTTGCATCGGCGACGCTGCTAGCATGGCCCGCAGGTCTGTTGCTGGCTGGCTCGGCTCGCCTTCCTTAGTCAAAGAGGTCGTGCCTGCCTGGAGCTGGCCGCCTGGACAATCGCCATCGTCTGCTCGCTTCTCCCGTCGCCCTGCGGCACAAACTGCCGATTTCTGGCCCGACGATCGTCCAGCCAAGCAGGCCAGGAGTAGCCTCGTCAAGTGGGTTTCAGAGAGAGGGGGGGGGCATGCAGGAGCATGGCGCCGGTGGCCGTTTCTGCTATAGGCGAGCCGTGCTCGAGCCGCGTGTCCCGCCCATCCATCCCCAGAATTTGATACGAGGCTGTTATCTGGTGAACCCGTTGCTCTCGAGGGGGAGCCGGGGGAAGCCGTGGGCGCAGTCCTGGCGACGCGAAGACGCGGAGTAGACGCATTATTTTGCCGAGCTATGCCTGGCGCATGATGCATCGGCTGCTGATGACCTCAGGACGTTCTACTGATGCTTGCGGCACGGTGGCGGTCTCCGAGTGTCCAAAGCTCTGTTACCTCTTATTTTGCCCTCGAGCTCGTAGCCTCTGTCGCGAAAAAAGAGATGCATGATCTAGCCGTTTGTTCAATGCAGCTCTCCTTTTTCTGAACCTTGGCAAGCAGAAGCAGGCAGGCAGGCAGGCAGCAAGGACAGAAGGGAAGAGCGAGCTGGATCTGGGATGCGGGGGGGGGGGTACTGGCGTGGGCTGCAGAAGGTTTCCAGGAGGGGAACAAAAACGCACAGACGTAATTTATGGTCGATTTCTGAGAGAATGTGGACAACCTGGGAAGTGGGAGGAGTGACGAAAATCCCCCAGAATTACTGAAAAATTTGGAATCCTGGGATTTGTGTGTGTGTGTGTGTGTGTGTGTGTCTATTGGTGTGCCCCTGAGCCCCCTTTCAGGTCTACTCCACCTGCACGCTCAACGACCGCGAGAACGAGGCGCAGTGCAGGAGAAGCTTTGCGCCCCTTCCCCCGCGCCCCTCTTGCCGGTGTACCGTGGCCTTCCCCCCGCCTCTCCCCGGACCCCCTCGCGCTGGGACAGATCACGACGGGAGGTTTCTCGCTCTTCCTCCTCCTCCTCCTCCTCCTCCTGCTCCCCCGCCTCCTCCTCTTCCTCTTCCTCCTCCTCCGCCTCCTCCTCCTCCTCCTGCTCCCCCGCCTCCTCCTCCTCCTTCCTGACGAACGCGGCGCCTTCCGTTCTCGTCCGATCATGTCTGGAGGCCCGTCTCTTTTCCGGCCTCCGGGGGGCCCCTGCCGGGCCTCGGGACCTTCAACAAAACGACTCGGGAGGAAGAACCCGTCCCGTGGAAGGGGTCCAGACCTCGGAGAGTCGAGGCTGCGACAAAAATCCCGACGCCGGGGCCCGGGATGCCGTCGCCCCTCCTGCCGAGCGGGCTGGGAGGAAAGCCCGCGCTTGCGCGCGCGAGCGCGGAGGCTCCCGAAGTGCCGACCCCACCGTCGTTGTCGCTCAATCTCTCGGCGTTCGGGGGCCGTTTTGCTCGGCGCTGTTTTTTTGTGTGTTAACAACAAATTCCATAACAAAGAGCAATACAGATTTAAAGGACGGACCGACCGTCACAGCATTCTTCTCCTCCATCTCCTCCTCCTTCTCCTCCTCCTCCTCCTCCTCCTCCTTCTCCTCCCCTGAGATCCTGGCGTCTCAATCTTTTCGTGCCGGGCGTTTGTCGCCGGGACCCTCACAGCTCGCTCCGGCCCGGAACACGGCGCAGGAAGCCGGGGTCCGGGGCTCGGGGCGTGGTTCTTGAAGGCGACGTGGCGCTCTTTCTTGTTCGCTGCGTCGGCTCTCAGGGGAGGCCCGGGCTGGCGCGTGCGGGCGCGGAGGCTCCCGAAGCGAAGCTGCCGCCGCTCGTGGCGCGGTGGGCGCGCCGAGGCGGAGAGGCCGGCCTGCCAGGAGTTGCCGCAGGAGTTCCTGGTGTGTTGGCCCCCGGGTGTGGCCCCCCGGGGGCCCCACGGAGGCCCCCGGGCGCCCCAGGAAGCTCGGAGCTTTCGCTGGCAGCCCAGGCCACCTCGCGTCGTGAAGGGGTCACAACCTCTGGGCCTCCTGGAGATGGGGTCGGAGCAGACGGGGTCGGAGGATCGCGCCGCATCGCCGATGTAGCGATGATGCTGCTCGATGCGGAGCCCGATTTTCTCCACGCCGACGTCGCCGATGTGTCGCCGACGTCGGCGATGCATCGCCGATCCTCCGACCGCATCTACTCGGACCCCATCTAGGAGGCCTCTAACAGCGGGAGGCTTTTCGCTATTTTCGGCCTCTGGGGGCCCTTACCGGGCCTCGGGGCCGTCCAGAAAACGGCTCGGGAGGAAGAACCAGTCCCGGGCAAGGGGTCCAGACCTCTGGGGGTCGAAGTTGCGACAAAAATCAGGACGTCGGGATGTCTGGGTACGGCCAGGCTTTTGGGCTTCGCGTGCCGCTCCGCCAGTGCTGGCCCGCCACGCTGCGGCGCGACGCGCTGCCCGCTCGCTGTCCACACGCGCGCTGCCCACCTCTCCGCGCGTCGCCGATCCACGGCCCCGCCCCCCCGCGCCGGCGCCCCGAGTCTTCTCCCCAGCCCTCCCTCGGAGCGGAGCGGCGCGCCATCCGCTCGCCGGGGGGCCGGCGTGTCGCCGATGCCGCCGCCGCGGCGCGCATGGAGCAGAAGTGTTAAGTCGGGCCTGTCCTCCTACCGGGGGATGTCGGACGAGAAATAATTAAAAATACTGAAAGAATGCCCCCAGATGGTTAAACAAATGCAAGCAAAAATAATCCCCATACTATTTTTCCCAACCATTCTGTGGTGTTGGGTCCTCGTTTTGAAGAGACAGCGCCCCGCGTTCTCCTCCTCCTCCTCCTCCTCCTCCTCCTCCTCCTCCTCTCCTCTCCTCCTCCCCCTCCTCCCTCCCTCCTCCCTCTTCCCCCTCTTCCCTGCGTTTCACCCACCCAGTACAGCGTTTCGTGGCCCCATAGGGAGCTCCACCGAAGGCCCCGGTGGCAGGGTTCGCATGGCGGCCTCGGGCCATTTCGGCACACCCAACCGCCTCGTTGGAAGACACCCGTTTGCAGACCCTGAAGCATGCCCAAACATGTTTCAACATTTTTCTCGGGATCCCAACGCCACGGATCAACTTTACTCTTGCGTCTTGACGACCCTGAATCGTGCCAGAACGCCATTCCAGGGACTTCAACGCAGAGAACCAGCGTAACTGTTGCACCCCGCGTAATCCTGAATCCTTCCGAAACCTAATTTCTGGTACGTTGATGATGGGAAACAGTGACATTCTTGACATTTTTGTAAGCGAATGTGCGCGGCGCCAAGGCGAGAACCACATGTTGAAAAGGAGCCGCCCTCAATCCGTGGAGATCTTGCAAATTTGTGAAACGAACGTGCGCCGCGCTAGGGCGAGAGCCACATTTTGAAAACCATTGGCCCTCAATCCGTGAAACTCTTGCATTTTTTACAACAGGTGTGCGCCGAGCTAAAGCGAGAACCACGCCACTCGCCCTCAATCCGTAAAGCTCTTGCATTTTTGACGGAAGAACGTGCGCCGCGCTAAGACGAGAACCACATTTTGAAAACCATCCGCTCTCAATCCGTGAAGCTCTTGCAATTTTTACAAAGAGTGTGCGCCGCGCTAAAGCGAGAGCCACATTTTGAAAGCCACCTGCCCTCCATCTGTGAAGCTGTTGCCAATTTTGAAGCTTCAGAGTCATAAATGGTGAAGAAGTCTCAGGCGACACGCCCGGCCCGCCCTAAAAACTGGCCTCGGGGTGCGACAGGGAGAATATATTTATAAGGGAAAGGACTGGAGGAGGAGGAGGAGGAGGAGGAGGAGGAGGAGGAGGAGGAGGAGGAGGAGGAGGAGGAGGAGAAGGAGGAGGAGGAGGAGGAGGAGGGGGAGGGCAACCAAACATCTAACAGCTTCCACATGTAGGTTCTCAGCACGCTGTGGACCAAGGGCCCGCCCCCCCAGGAGGCTCCTGGAGGCCGAGCCCTCGGCCGAGCCGCTGGACCTGGCCCCCCTGCTCGGCCTGCCCCAGGAGGCGGGCGACGCGAGCGGCCAAGGCTTCGTCAGGACCTTCTCGCGGCCTGCCGCTCATCGCCTCTGGCTGGGGCCTCGTCGGGGTTTTCCGACCCAGGTCTCCAGAGACTTGGGCCGGAAAACCCGGACGATGCCCCGCGGCGTGTTCTTTCAGTCCCGCCATCCTCGCCATGGGGGGTGCGGGCCCTGAGGGAACTGGGTCCTGAAGTCTTTCGCCGCTTTCGGGCTTTCGGGGCCCTCCACGGCCCCTGGGGAGGAGCTCGTCGCGGGGGAAGGCACCAGCGTCCAGGACCCGTTTCCCTCATGATCCGCGCTGCCCTCACGCTAGCATCAGAGAACCTATGGAGGCCCCGTGGCCCAGGACTCGTTTCCCTCAGGGCCCGCTTCTCCCTTGCTAGCCCAGAGGTTCGAGGTTCCCAGATCCCCGGGGATTCGATTCTTACATCCTGTCTTGCCTCCCGGCCTGTCCGCGGGGGGGGACCTGGCCCGCAGGTGGCCGTAGCGCCCCGGGAGGGCACGGCGAGCTCGCGCAGTTGGCCGCTCAGGTGCCCGGGGTGGCAGAGGCCCACGCGCCAGCTTGGCGGAGCCAGTGCGGCGCGGGATGGATTCGACTAGACGTAAGAGTGACCTTTCGCTGGAGTGACCTTTGGAGCGGGCACAGATGGGTCCCCAGATGGCTGAGAACGAAGCAGCGGCAGCTGCTTGCGCGCCCAGGTTTGGTCCCCCCGAGGCCCCCCCAAAAGCCGCGCACCAAAGGTCACTCTTGCCCAGGGTCACTCTTACGTATAGCCGATGGATGGCCTGGCATGAGCTCTGCTAGAAGCTGTCCCATTTGTTGACCTGTTTTGGTGCTAATGTTCCCAGACGTGATCGCGTCGTAGAAAAAATCAGGACGGGAGGTTTTTGGCCGTTTTCGGCCTCGGGGGGCCCATCGCCAGGCCTCGCGGCCGTCAACAAAAACGACTCAGGACGAAAAACCGGTCCCGGGGAAAGGGTCGGGACTTCCAGGGACCCCGTACTGAAAAAAAAAGGTGTCTGGGTTGCGTTCTCGCATGGGCGCCGCGCACGCTCAATCCTGGCGTTGTTCCTCGATCTCGGCGGGACCTCTGGAGCCGTGCGCTGAAAAGGTCACATCGTCGGACGTCTGCGACGTGGGTGCTTTCTTGCATCCCCGGGGGATGCTTCAGCCCGGGCTGCCTCCCTGCGGCTGGGCCTCGTCGAGAGCGTTCCGGGGGGTGCCCGGCCCGTCCCGGGGATACATGGCACAAAGTCCAACATTCCTCGCGTCGTGATATTTCTGCAACCTGGTCCCAGAGAGGTCCCCGGAGATCCAACGCATTGGAAAACTCAAGACGGAGGGTTTTCGTCTTTTTCGGCCTCGAGGGGCCCTCGCCGGGCCCCGGGACCGTCAAAGAACGACTCAGGACGAGAAACCGGTCCCAGGGAGTGGGTCGAGACTCCTGGGGACCCCGCACTGAAAAAAATCACGACGTCGGATCTCTGGGTCCTGTGGCCCTTCCCGGGGGCTGGCTCTGCCTCCTCGGCCGCTCAATTGGCGCTCCTCTGGGCCCCGCGAGGGCACCCAGATGAGGCCGCGGATGGTCGGAACGCCTGGGATCGGGGATCGAGAACTGGCTCCCGAAGCTGTCCTGAGCTTCTCAGTGCGATCGTACCTGATATCTGCGCGGCTCTGCGCGTCCATCTGGCGCTCCTCTGCCGACTTGCCCATGGCTGGAGCGGGCGGCCGCTGGGGCGAGGGGCGTGGGGGGATCGGTGCGCATACCGTGGACGCAACTGGGCCGACACGGCCCGACACGACTATCCCAAAGCCCCCGCCTCTCCACCACACAATGCAAATTCGCCCCGACACGAGGGGAGCCCAGCTGTGGCGACGGGAGCGTCCCAGGAGGTTCGAACAGGGGGAGAGACACGTTCAGATTTCAGTCGGGCACGTCCCTCTACAGGGGGAATATTCAAAAATAGTCCAAAAATAGTCTGGGGACGATTTTCCCATTATCTGATTAGTTTGGAATAAGTATTTCGGATTATTTTTCAAGTTTTTCTCCCAAATCCGACTGTAGGAGGACATCATTCCCGACCTAAGCCTATATATTCGTATCCTCGGAATAGCTCGGGCCTCCGGCGGTAGATGGGGACGATCCAGGCACCCCTGGAACGCCCTCGACGAGGCGCAGTTGCTGGAAAGCATCCCGAGGCGAGAACACCGGACTCCCCCCCCTAAGAGCCGACGAAACGGCGAAAAAAACACATGTTTTCAGCACGCTAAGCGTTGGAGGTCTTGTCGAGGTCGGTCCCCAGACCCCCGACGTCATGATCTTTTTCAGAACGTCGACCCCCAGGGGTCTCGACCCATCCCCCAGGACAGACCTTTCACTCTGCGTCGTGTTTTTGAAGGTTCTGGGCCCCCCAGGGGCCGAAAGTACGGTAGATTCGTGTCGTGTCGACCGGCGGCGACCCCGCTAGCGGCGTTCAACTTTGAACGCCGCGGTCGACCCAGAATCGTTTGATGTGGAACGATTTGGACGTTTCGTTTCGGAAACGGCCGATCGTTCAAGGTTGAACGATCCCCGCGGTGTCAGAAAACCAACGCCGAAGTCGGCACGACACGAACCTGACGTAGCCAAAATCCGGCCGCCGCCGCCGCTGCCTCTCCTGGGCTCTGCAGGATCTGGCCGCACGCCTTCGACACCGAGGGCTTCTTCCTCGGCTGCTTCCGGAAGCTGTCAAGCCAGGGCGGGGGCGCCGAGCCTGCGGCGAAGGCGCCTCCCGAGCGAGCCGCCACCTTCCAGAAGAGGAGGAGAGGAAGGGGGACGAGGAGAGGAGGAGGAAGAGGAGGAGGAGGAGGAGGAGGAGGAGGAGGAGGAGGAGGAGGACGAAGAGGAGGAGGAGGAGGAGGAGGAGGAGGAGGAGGAGGAGGAGGAGGAGGAGGAGGAGGACAAGGAGACCCCGCCGCCCCGTGAAGTAATCGCGACGGACGTTTTTGTAGGCAAGTTTCGGCCTCCAGGGCCCCTCGGATGTAACCCTTCGGAGGTGAAATTCGGTATCGGCGCTGGCGTATCCGTGGTCGAAGACCGACCTCTGGCCAAATCTGGCCGAATCCCACTTCTCCAGGCAGATCCGGCTTACTCCTAGGTTCACATCGGCCCAATCCGGCTCGATGGCCCTTTCACCGGGCCCCGACCAAACGACGCAGGATGAAAAATTGGTGCCGGGGAATGGGCCGACCCAGACATGCGACGTCCTGATTTTTTCCATGCGGGGCCCGTGGAAGTCCCAACCCTCAGGGGTCGGTTTTTCGTCCCGAGCCGTTTTCTGACGGTCCCGAGGCCCGGCGAGGGCCCCCGGAGGCCTTCAATAGCGAAGCACCTCCCGCCACGATTTCTGCACAGACGCGAGGGGTCTGGGCCCGGGGAGTGGGCCGAGACACCTCTGCAGCATGGTGGCCATGCGGTGACCACAGATCATGGCGTCGGGGGCCCGGGCCCGCCAACTTCTCACTCGTGGGCGCCGGGCGAGGCGCCCCCCCCCGCCCCGCTGAGCCTTGCCCGGCGAAGCCGTGCCGAGGTGTGCAGCGCTGGGCCCGGCCCTCGCCCACGTGCACGCTGCGCGCCGCGGCGGAGACCCTGAGAGCCTGGCGTTGCAATTTTTTCGCCACCGGCGTCAGAGGAGGAACAGGCACCCATACCTCTACCGTCCCATCGTTTTCCCTTTTTCTGGTCCGAACGCACCCCGGGAGAGGTCCGGGGAGTAGCGGCATCGGTGCCTTTTGGTTTCCCCATGGCGTTTTCGCCCCATTTCGGGTTCCGGGATCCGCACAGATCAATCCGGCTCGAGAAATGAGGCAGAAAGACGGGGTCCAGGGCTCCGGGCGTGATTTTCTGCGATGTTGCATTTTTGGGGGGGTTGCGACGTCGGACCTCGGGGGGGCTGCGGAGCAGGCCTGCCCGAGGTGCGCTGGAGTGCCTCCGGCGGGGCGCGATGCTCCGCGCACGCCGCGGGCGGGGCTCTGGCGGCCGAGATACGGACCAGGATTAAGTCGGGCAGGTCCCTCTACAGGAGGTATATTCAAAAATAGTCAAAAATAGTCTCGGGACGTTTTATTCCCAACCATCCTGTGGTGTTGGGTCCTCGTTTTGAAGAGACGGTGCCCCGCGTCCTCTCCTCTCCTCCTCTCCTCCTCCTCCTCCTCCTCCTTGCCTCTGCTCTCGGCACACCTCTCACGCGTTTCGTAGCCCCATAGGGAGCTCCACCGAAGGCCCCAGTGGGGGTGTTCGCATGCGGTTCCCCCACCCAGGGCAGCGTTTCGTGGCCCCATAGGGAGCTCCACCGAAGGCCCCAGTGGGGGTGTTCGCATGCGGTTCCCCCACCCAGGGCAGCGTTTCGTGGCCCCATAGGGAGCTCCACCGAAGGCCCCAGTGGGGGTGTTCGCATGCGGTTCCCCCACCCAGGGCAGCGTTTCGTGGCCCCATAGGGAGCTCCACCGAAGGCCCCAGTGGGGGTGTTCGCATGCGGTTCCCCCACCCAGGGCAGCGTTTCGTGGCCCCATAGGGAGCTCCACCGAAGGCCCCAGTGGGGGTGTTCGCATGCGGTTCCCCCACCCAGGGCAGCGTTTCGTGGCCCCATAGGGAGCTCCACCGAAGGCCCCAGTGGGGGTGTTCGCATGCGGTTCCCCCACCCAGGGCAGCGTTTCGTAGCCCCATAGGGAGCTCCACCGAAGGCCCCAGTGGGGGTGTTCGCATGCGGTTCCCCCACCCAGGGCAGCGTTTCGTGGCCCCATAGGGAGCTCCACCGAAGGCCCCAGTGGGGGTGTTCGCATGCGGTTCCCCCACCCAGGGCAGCGTTTCGGGAGCTCCACCGAAGGCCCCAGTGGGGGGTTCGCATGCGGTTCCCCCACCCAGGGCAGCGTTTCGTAGCCCCACCCACCGAAGGCCCCAGTGGGGGTGTTCGCATGCGGTTCCCCCACCCAGGGCAGCGTTTCGTGGCCCCATAGGGAGCTCCACCGAAGGCCCCAGTGGGGGTGTTCGCATGCGGTTCCCCCACCCAGGGCAGCGTTTCGTGGCCCCATAGGGAGCTCCACCGAAGGCCCCAGTGGGGGTGTTCGCATGCGGTTCCCCCACCCAGGGCAGCGTTTCGTGGCCCCATAGGGAGCTCCACCGAAGGCCCCAGTGGGGGTGTTCGCATGCGGTTCCCCCACCCAGGGCAGCGTTTCGTAGCCCCATAGGGAGCTCCACCGAAGGCCCCAGTGGGGGTGTTCGCATGCGGTTCCCCCACCCAGGGCAGCGTTTCGTGGCCCCATAGGGAGCTCCACCGAAGGCCCCAGTGGGGGTGTTCGCATGCGGTTCCCCCACCCAGGGCAGCGTTTCGTAGCCCCATAGGGAGCTCCACCGAAGGCCCCAGTGGGGGTGTTCGCATGCGGTTCCCCCACCCAGGGCAGCGTTTCGTGGCCCCATAGGGAGCTCCACCGAAGGCCCCAGTGGGGGTGTTCGCATGCGGTTCCCCCACCCAGGGCAGCGTTTCGTAGCCCCATAGGGAGCTCCACCGAAGGCCCCAGTGGGGGTGTTCGCATGCGGTTCCCCCACCCAGGGCAGCGTTTCGTAGCCCCATAGGGAGCTCCACCGAAGGCCCCAGTGGGGGTGTTCGCATGCGGTTCCCCCACCCAGGGCAGCGTTTCGTGGCCCCATAGGGAGCTCCTCCACCGAAGGCCCCAGTGGGGGTGTTCGCATGCGGTTCCCCCACCCAGGGCAGCGTTTCGTGGCCCCATAGGGAGCTCCACCGAAGGCCCCAGTGGGGGTGTTCGCATGCGGTTCCCCCACCCAGGGCAGCGTTTCGTGGCCCCATAGGGAGCTCCACCGGAGGCCCCAGTGGCTGCTCTCGCATGCGGTTCCCCCACCCAGGGCAGCGCTTCGTGGCCCCATGGGGAGCTCCACCGAAAGCCCCCGTGGCGCAGTTCGCATGCGCTTCCCCCACCCAGGGCAGCGTTTCGTGGCACCATAGGGAGCTCCACCGAAGGCCCCAGTGGCGCAGTTCGCATGCGGTTCCCCCACCCAGGGCAGCGTTTCGTAGCCCCATAGGGAGCGGCCACCAAAGACCCCCGTCGGCGCAGTCCGCATAGCCGGTTCCCCCATCCCCCCAAGGCAAAAGCGCTTTCGTGGCCCCATATGGAGCCCCACCGAAAGCGGCACCCACCAACGCGTTAACACAATTGCTTATGGTTGGTCTTTCGCGCAGGATAATTTAGATTTGGTTATTTTCAAAATCCGATATTTCCCAACCATCCTGTGGTGTTGGGTCCGTCGTTTTGAAGAGACGGTGCCCGCGTCCTCTCCTCTCCTCCTCTTCCCCCTCCTCCCTCCTCCCCCTCCTTGCCTCTGCTCTCGGCACACCTCTCACGCGTTTCGTAGCCCATAGGGAGCTCCACCGAAGGCCCCAGTGGGGGTGTCCACATGCGGTTCCCCCACCCAGGGCAGCGTTTCGTGGCCCCATAGGGAGCTCCACAGAAGGCTCCAGTGGGGGTGTCCACATGCGGTTCCCCCACCCAGGGCAGCGTTTCGTGGCCCCATAGGGAGCTCCACCGAAGGCCCCAGTGGGGGTGTCCACATGCGGTTCCCCCACTCAGGGCAGCGCTTTGTGGCCCCATGGGGAGCTCCACCGAAGGCCCCAGTGGGGGTGTCCACATGCGGTTCCCCCACCCAGGGCAGCGTTTCGTGGCCCCATAGGGAGCTCCACCGAAGGCCCCAGTGGGGGTGTTCGCATGCGGTTCCCCCACCCAGGGCAGCGATTCGTATCCCCATAGGGAGCTCCACCGAAGGCCCCAGAGGGGGTGTTCGCATGCCGGTTCCCCTAAAAGATAAAAATAAAAAAATCCCCCACCCCGGGCAGCGTTTCGTGCCCCATAGGGAGCTCCACCGAAGGCCCCCAGTGGGGTGTTCGCATTGCGTTTCCCCCACCCAGGGCAGCGTTTCGTAGCCCCATAGGGAGCTCCACCGAAGGCCCCAGTGGGGGTGTTCGCATGCGGTTCCCCTACCCAGGGCAGCGTTTCGTAGCCCCATAGGGAGCTCCACCGAAGGCCCCAGTGGGGGTGTTCGCATGCGGTTCCCCCACCCAGGGCAGCGTTTCGTGGCCCCATAGGGAGCACCACCGAAGGCCCCAGTGGGGGTGTTCGCATGCGGTTCCCCCACCCAGGGCAGCGTTTCGTAGCCCCATAGGGAGCTCCACCGAAGGCCCCAGTGGGGGTGTTCGCATGCGGTTCCCCCACCCAGGGCAGCGTTTCGTGGCCCCATAGGGAGCTCCACCGAAGGCCCCATTGGGGGTGTTCGCATGCGGTTCCCCCACCCAGGGCAGCGTTTCGTGGCCCCATAGGGAGCTCCACCGAAGGCCCCAGTGGGGGTGTTCGCATGCGGTTCCCCCACCCAAGGCAGCGTTTCGTAGCCCCATAGGGAGCTCCACCGAAGGCCCCAGTGGGGGTGTTCGCATGCGGTTCCCCCACCCAGGGCAGCGTTACGTGGCCCCATAGGGAGCTCCACCGAAGGCCCCAGTGGGGGTGTTCGCATGCGGTTCCCCCACCCAGGGCAGCGTTTCGTGGCCCCATGGGGAGCTCCACCGAATGCCCCAGTGGGGGTGTTCGCATGCGGTTCCCCCACCCAGGGCAGCGTTTCGTGGCCCCATAGGGAGCTCCACCGAAGGCCCCAGTGGAGGTGTTCGCATGCGGTTCCCCCCACCCAGGGCAGCGCTTCGTAGCCCCATAGGGAGCTCC